GCCCACTAGCGTTCGCTTGATCGCTTTAGTTGCTATCGTGACACGGAAGTCTTAACCAACACTTCCGGGTGAACTCTGATCCCCTCGAACTTTGTAAACAAACCAAACAAACGCTACGCTAAGCTAAGCTAGTCTAAGCTAAAGCTGAGCGGTTGTTTGCATTGAGGCCTGTGCTAAAGCCTTTAGCATCAGTTACTATTATACTAACCCCAGCGGTTAGCTATAGTGTCTGTTTGAACAACGTTAAAGCGATTTAACCATTTAGACACCTATCGATCTTTTCTTGTTTCTTCTTTTAACTTTATCACACTTTTCTTTAAAGTTAACCATATTTTCCCGAAAGGAAAATACTGGTGTACCATTATTAATTGTTTTACCTGCATTTTACTTGAAAAGGAAAATACTGGTTTATGATTATTAATTGTCAATTTTCGAATTTGATCTTAAAAGAACAAGAAATTGCAAAATTGAGATTCTACCTTTCTAAACAGATCATTTCTAATGATTTCTAGATTTATTTTTGTAATAATTCTAATTGCATAATTTTCATAATTTTTACATTTCTCTTTGAGATCTAATCACTTTAGGTGAATTAGTTTTTGAAACTTAAGAACTCTGAAAGTTAAAATTTGAAAGTTATCATTACTATTACAAAAATAGTGTTAGACTCAGATTTGCTCACTATTGTCATTGCATTTTATACTTTCTTAGTTATAAACTTAACCACTATATTGGAATAATTCATTTGCATGACGCTTCAATAGGAGACATTACCATCTCCATACGAGTTTCAAATAAACCAGAGACAATCGTCTTTTACAAAGTTTATTTGTGTGTTTAGTTGTTCATCAACTATCAATTCTATACTCGTAGTAGATCTAAAGGTAGCGGGATCCAACCTCCTTGCTTCATTTCTCCCTCATCGCGTCTTTCCTGTTCTGTCCTGCTTTATTCCATCTAATTTTGCACATTTGTCGGGAACAAACCTGGAAGAACCATCAACCAACTCTAAAAAGAGACAAAGATAATCTTTCCCAACAGATTATTAGGTATTTGATTTTTAATCAAACCCTCTTGTGTTCTTCTCACTCTCCCTGCATTTGTAAACGCAATTTAAACTTTGACATCTTATCCAAGATTAATTAACAGAGACAAGTGTTGAGCAAACTCCGCCTTCAAAGCATCCCTGCTGTAAGCCCTGCTGTAAGCGGTCCAACCGAAGGTGTGTGTGTCAATCCTGTCAAACTCAGAAAAGAGGTATCAGCATTATTATTGTATTATTTTTCATTGCAAACATAATCAAATATTGTTTACCTTTCTGGAAAACAGATTGTCATTGATAGAAACATTTATGAGAAATTAATACTTTCCCTAGTTAATAATTTCCTTTTTGTTTCGTTTCTCTCTCATTTGAAATTGGTTGTTAACTTTTCTCTCTTCTTCTCTTACTCAGTTGAGTGACGAAGTCCTCACATCACGAGTTGAAACCAGCTTTCAGTGATAGAAAATATTTACAAAAATATTTTCTTCCATTGAAAAAAAAGCTATTTCCATCTGAGATTTGTTTTAACCTCTCTCTTTTTCTTTCCTTTACCCAGTTGAGTGACGAGATCTTCACATCCCCTAGCCTCACTGTGTACACTTAGACCAACATTTAGTCATCACGACACTTCACTATTGGTGCACACTTACTGAAACTACACTCAGCCGTGCAACCACATATAGGCTTATACCACACAGATCTGTGTCAGTCTCTTCACCGAGCGTGCCAACATGTCGTGGACGACAAAACCCACTGCCCAACGGGAAGACATGGACGCCTGGCTCAGAGGCATTACAGACTGCCTCACACCAAAGACAATTGAACTGTTATTATTTTTAATAATAATCATAATTCTGAGAAGATTCCTGACACATGATTCAAGCCAAAACCAAAGCCATGTGGAACTAACCAAAATAACCTGTTCCTTAAGCAATGCCTTCACAGCCCAGCTAAACCTAAGCCACCAGCACGTCACCCACCTTCAGGAGGAGCTGACACGTGCCCAAAGCCGCATAGACAAGCTGGAAGTGAAAGTCCAGGACGACCTCAAGACCACCGAGTTCCTGAGAGAGCTGACGCACACTCAACACTGCAAAGACCAGCTCAAAGCGTCCGACGAAGCGGAGCATGAAACAAAGACCCAAGTTGACAAGCTCCAAGAAGCCCTTGCAGTCACTGAACGTGACAAACAAGAGTTAAAGACTGTCCAGAAGCACCTGGAAAACCAACTCCAGTCTGCTGAACATCAGCTCGAGAAAGCCAAAGCTGACATCGAAAGTAAGAACTCTAAAATCACTGCTCTGGAAGACCACCTGCAAAGGTGCAGCGTTGAAATGGACCATCTGATCCAACAGCGAGACGACGTCAACGACGAGCTCTACGCGGTCAGAAATGAATTCCAACATGTCTTTACACAGAAACCAGAGCCAAGAAGGGAGAGACCTCCCTCAGCATCATCACTGCTGAGCAGAACAGAGTCCTCCATCCAAGAACTGTCATCCTACGGAAGAAGTGAATGGCCACACCCCAAAACGTCACCGGCCTTCACCACAGAACTCTTCCCTGCCACCAACAAAGAGAGATCATCCAGCCAGACTCCAAAGCTGCAACTGGAATGACCTTCAAAGATCTCAACCAGCTGGCTAAGAACATCACCCAGTTCGACCCGAACTCCACGGAGGGCCACTGCATCCAGGCCTACCTCCAAGATATCGTTCCTCCTAGAGGTGAGACCACCTATGACTGACAGAGACATTTTATACCTCCTCAGATCCACATCCAGTCAAGAGGTACGAAGCGTCCTAGACCGACAACCTGCTCATGTCAAGTCAAACTACCAGCTGCTACGTGAGATCCTGATTAACGAATTTACAAGTCCAGAGTCAGACAACGGTGTGTTAGTCGCCTTGGAAACCAAACAAGGTCGTCAAGAGACTCCCCAAGCCTATTATCACCGTTTCCGACAAGCCTACTTCGGTGCACATAGCAAACCTGAATCTGAAAGGATCTGAACTTCAAAACCCTCTTCCTGAGAAACCTGCACCCAGGACTGAGTCGTCATCTCGGCATCATGGCCTGCCCAGTCACCATGACGCTTCAACAGCTACGTGACCTGACACACAAGGCTACATCAAACAAAAGATGACTTCAAAGAAAGGTTTGAAAACATCCACAGTGTCAAACTCCAGCAGCCAAGACACAAGCCTTGCACTGAAGACACCCAGTGGCATGACAACGCCACAGTCCTATTCAGGAGCACAGAGAATGCTACTCCCATGCTAACGACAGCGACCACTCCAACCACGTGGAAAAGTCATGGGACCCACCAGAAGGAAACAACTGGAATCAACGAGTGCATCCAAAAGCATTCTATGTGGGTAAGCGACAACGAAAACCCACCTCCACACCACACTGAGTGTGTCAAGAACACGACAGTCTCCCTCAGAGGACATGGAGCGACTACTGAGTCGACTGCAAGTGTTCTTCAAAGACAAGCTGAACACAGACCAGTGATCACCTTGCACACCTTCCTGAGACGACCACCTGTTCTACAACAACACAGAACAAAGTGGCCTCTCACAGTCAACCACTGACAAACACCCAGAGGTACCAAAAACACCATCCTGGTTACCCATCACACCACAAGCTCCAAACTCAAGAACCATCTGTGTGCTGCCGCAACACCAGTAAGCACAGAAGTCAGACTGTCTGTCACAACCAGAAGGCATCACAAGTGGAATGCAACAAGAGACCATGTTTTGCACTACAGCTT